GAGAGACGGGGGCAGGGGAAATGGATAGAGAGCAAGAAGGAGTGAGATAATGTCCAAAGCCATAATCCTTCTGGAAACAATTAGTCTCAGATAAGGCTGAGAATCCCTGCTCAATTGCTCCTGTTGCATGTCTAAGGGAGAAGGTCAAATAGCAACAACAGAACAAACAAGAAAAAAGGTGGAATGATTTCCACAGCATGAAGGTCCCCCAAAATGGAGGGATAGACAAATTATTTCTAGGAGAAAAATAATCTTATCCTGCTTAATATTTTTCTCTATTTATTAATTCCCCTAGAATTTGAATAAACTTTCACCACCATCCTCATTTCCTTGTATTCCTGACCCTGTATCTTTCCCCAATTTCTGAAATAGTTTTAAAAACAATAGAGCCTACAATCAGTTAAAAGGTATTGTAATCATCAAGGTGCCCACCCCCATCATCTTGTGATGAGACGGGCAGCAAATAAATTTAATAAATAATCATATAGAATTGCAGGACATACATAGGTGAAGTGAGGCAGAGATATACACTTAGGATCAAGGTGTTTTATTGAAATAAATAGAACCTGCAGTTACATATCTACAAGACTGCAGAGTGCTCAATTGTGTTTGATCAAGAGAATGTGGAAGGGAAAATGTCTGGACAGCCACATTCAGAAAAAAAGGACTCTAATGCAGAGGCTGGCCCTGCCCTCAATTGTATCCCAGCTTCCATCTGTGTGTGTGTCTGTGTGTGTGTGTGTGTGTGTGTGTCTGTGTGTGTTTATGGGGGGGTTTCCTCCTTGCGCATATGCAGTTTCAGCAGGCAACAAACCTGGTCAGCCATCCTGGGCTCAGAAGCTGAAGAGTTGAGCCTAGTTAGTACTTGGCTAGGAGACCACCAGGAAATCCTAGTGCTGTAAATTACAATAGGACATGGGGGAGAGGGGGAAGTCAGTACTGCTATCAAAACAAAAACAAAACCTCATCAAGAACATGATCTAGAAACCACCAGGACTGAAGCCTGGCTAAAAGGAAATGTACCATTGCACAATATTTTTTTTCCAGACAACTGAGATGCACCCCATACACTGTGCCACATGGGAGTATGATACATGGAAAACTAGAATACTTTATAAAACTAGAGGCAATATTTGCCCAATATATTAACTCTAGTTAGTTTTAATCTATTTTCATCTGTGTTAATTGTTAACTGGTTAAGTGTATTAGTGTGTGAGAGAGAGAAGGGGGGTGGGGAGATGTCGATGCAGTTGTTTTATGCTTCCAGGATATTTGTTGTCTTATTCAGTGAGCTGGAAGGCATTTTCTTCCAACCAAAGGCATCAGCGGTCCTCCACCTCGTTCAAGGGGGATAACCCTGAAATGTGCAAAGAGGCTCCAGGGTGACTGCGAAGCCGACAGATGCCAGGAAGGGCTTGAGAGCTGCCTCACGCCGAGTCGCTGCCCATCCAGCTGCTTTAGCTGTCGTAAAAAGACCAGCTCCCCCCCCCACGCCCCCGCGCGCCTGCGGCCTTAGCACGAGAACCGGCAAGTCCTGTGTCTTCCCTCCCAAAAGCAGCAGGCGCCCGGTGGAAAGCGGTCTAGCGGGCGGCACGAGTTATAGATCCCTCTGAGAGAGAGAGAGAGAGAGAGACCCTTGAAAAGAAAGGTATCTCTCTCCACCTGGGGAAGAGGCTCTTGAGGGAACGTTGAGCGAAAAATCTCCCCCTTTCCCACCCGAATGCTGCGCCCACGCTGCCCCTCGATGGTCCGGATGGAGTCTGCACCGGCCCCCACTTCCCCTCCGCTAGAAGGACCAGGAGCAAGCAGCTCCCCTCCGCCGCTGGCCAGCCTTGGTCTTATCAGGCCTCTCCGAGTTAGAGAGGGAGCGGAAGTTCGGCCTTCCCCTGGATGGCGCCTGTCCCTCTCCCTTTTCTCAATTGGTCCAGTCCGGATTGCGGGCTAGGAAAGCGAGTGTTTTTCATGGGCCTGCTTTCCTTCCAGCAAAAGCCCGCCTTCAGCCGCAGCCAGCCTGAAGCGGGGCAGCGGGGGTTGCAGTCCTAGCGGTGGAGTCCTTGGCGAGCGTCCAAGCTTAGCGGGGCCAATTTGTCTGTCTGTCCCAAGTCAAAATCCCAGCGCTGCAGATACGGAAGCTGCCCTCCCCTCTACGGGGGTCAGAGATTTAGCACGCTTCTTGGTAAGCGAGAGGGTGTCCCTCGAGAAAGGGAGGCGGGGAAGACGCTGGAGAGCACAATTCTTTACAACCGGCGGCCAGGCCGGGTAAGGTCACCAACCCTGACCCTGAACGAGCCGGATTGCTTCAGATGCGAGGAATCTGGCCTAAGGCTTCCCGAAGGGCTTAGCTGGGCCGCAGAGCTGAACGCGCCGGAAAAGAAGTGGTGCGCTCCGAACGAGCAAGCGCTGTGAGCCTTGAAGGGTGCGAGTGTCGGTATTTCCGCGGGTCCTGCGCAAAATTCAGGTCGCGCCTTCCCATTTGGCGTTCAAGGAGGCTAATCGTAAATACACATTTAAAAACAAACGAACAAATAAAGGGACGGATTACTACGCTGATGATGAACGTAAAGGAAAAGGCAGCCTTTCCCACCCCCCCACCCCCACCCAGGGAAACCTGAGGCGCCTCGCGTCTCGGGACGGCCGGCTTTCTTCCCGCTCTTCTTCAGAGGAAGAGAAAGCCGGCAAAGCCCGCGGGGTAATGTCTGGAGACTGCTTCGGGGCGAGAGTGAGAGGAGCTGGTCGTTGAGGCGCCGGCCGCCCCCCACCTCCGCCCGCCGTATTCTCCGCTCGAGGGCCGGGAGGGAAAAGAGGCAGCCCCTGCTTGCCTCCGCCCCCAGCTCTCTTGACATGCAGGCCACCGCCTTCGCCTGAGGCTTTGCTCGCGGCGGTGTTTATCTAGCCTGACGGCGTGATGGATGGCGGAACGCAGAATTTTAGTACACAGGAGGCCTCTCCGCCGACAGGAGACGCGGCCAAGGCCGGCGCTCCATGCCTATATTAGGTGGGTCGGGCAAGCTGCCCCTCGCGGGCCGTGGCGCCCAGGCGGACCAATGAGAAAGCTCCTCAAGGGCAGGGTCCCTCCTCCTCCTCCCGGTCCCGCCTCCCTACCTGCCTCCAGACCACAAGCCAAGGCTGGGCGCTTGGCCGGCGCGGCGCCCTTCGGAAGCCGGCGCTCGCGGGGGGCACCGGCCGCAGCTCGGCTGCAGCGCCCACCATGTTTCCGAGCCCCGTGACCAACACGCCTTTCTCGGTCAAGGATATCTTGAGTCTGGAGCAGCATCCTGGCGGCCTGGCGTCCCTGGAGCTCTCGGCCTTGGGCTCGCCCTCCTCCTGCATGCTGGCCACCTTCAAGCAAGAGTCCTACCCGGCAGAGGACGCCCCTCTCGCCGAGGCCCCGGCCGGCCTGGCCAAAGGCTGCGGCAGCACTTTTCCCGGCCCATTCTTCGCCAAGAGCTACGTGGAGGTAGAACCGACCAAGGAGCCGAAGGAGAGCAAAAAAGGTAACCGCGGGGGAGACCGGGGGGTGGGAGCAGGAAGGGTCTTCCGCCCGTGTTGCGAGGCCGAAGCATCCTCGACCAAGCCGGATCCCTAGGGAAGAGGGGCTTTTCCGCGGAGAGGATGTCCGGGGAGGTGTCTGCGGGCCAGGCAGGCGAGTGGGTGGGAGTCCTGAGCCCGCCTCTGGCTTGCTGGGCTGTTCCGTGTTGCCGCTCCGGACTGGGAGAGACGACAGGAAGGTTAGGAGGGAACAGTAACCCAGCGTGGATGGTGGTCGATTTTTGGTGGCTGGGAGGGATTGAAGGGGAGCATTGAAGAAGACGCCTTCGATTGTGTTCCGTCCTTGTAGGGTCTGTTTCGAAGGGTCGTGGCAACGTCTCACCCCTCCCCTAGTGAAGATCCCTCGATATCCATATCTCTAGACTGCTTATGGGGTGGCTTGCTGTTTTTGTGACAAGTAACTGGTGACAATCCAAGTATTCGCTGTGTTCTAATAAAGTTAATACCAACGATGCGGAAGAATTATACTTAATTAGGACAGTACCCTAGCTCTTGAAAATGGCTTTCACCTCCCTCCTTTGTTGCAGTCCTTACAACAACCCTTGAGAGTAGTTCAGTCTTACCATATTTACCTGAAAGGAAGATTATCTGGAATTTGGAATGATGCCCAAGAAAAATTTAGACAGGAAAATATCTACTTCTGTCATTATCTTAATCCCAGTGGATCTAAGATAAACTCTCTCCCGCATTTCAAGGTTAATTATCCAAGAATAAATTAGTCTTTCTTTCCCTTGATGAAGTCCAGAATATTTGGACACAAAATGTCTTCCCTTAAATTACTTTATTGAGTCCTTCCTGAGTCCTTGTTCATAAATTCTGACCCTACTACTCCAACATCTATTCAGCTGCAGTGGGACTGACATTCAAAGATGTGTAGGCAATGCCCAAGCATTTAGAAACTACCTTACCACCCCCAAATCCCCTCATCTCATTTTAGGCAAGCCCTCTTCCCCCAATAGTTGAAGGGCTAAAATGATTTAGCCCTGTGCTGTGATTTTGCATTCTTCAAAACTCAATGAAAGTTAGTTTTTGTTTTTATTAAGCGTGAACCTATTTAAACAGCTGCGTTTAATGATGATGTTATTGTTACTAAATGTTTACTGCTGAGCTCTCCTTTCAGAGTAGGATATACAGTATAATCAGGTTATACAACATAGTACAAAACTGGTTATTTCTACTGAGAAGCAAATCGATTCTTTGGATTTGCTCATGGCTGAAAATATCTTAAGTTTGTATCCTAAGGCTGTTGAGACTATGTTCTACTTTCTGACCTGTGTAAAGTCCCACTGATCCCAGTGGAGTTTGCTTTTGAATACACAGGAATGGGTTTGCAAATTGTACCACTCTCTTGCTTTGATCATCCCCACTTTGTTCTCTGGCCTCTAAAGACATCTTGAGACTTTGGGACAGATTTTCTCTCCCAACTGCTATAATAAATACAAGAAAGAAAGAATTCTCATAAACTGGATTTTTCTGGAACAGATTCCTAGGCAAATATGCTAATTATCTCCCCCTGAGATGGAATGAAATTTTGAGGTCATCAAGCCAGGAGAACTGACAGTACACACAAATGTTACCTTCTTTTGGAGCAATTCTTTTCTGGCATTAATCTTGCTCCTAAGATTGTTCGAATCAAGCTGAATTTGGATCCCATTTTTTGATCCCTTAAACTGCCATCTTCTGCACACTGACTTAGGAGAAGACCCCCCCCCCCGCTTTTCTCCACATAAGGTGGGGAGATACCAGTAGTATTCCAATGGAGTGGTTGCCAACCTCCCAGAATCACTAGGGATTTTCATTTAATCTCTACTGGAAAATGAATCGAGGATCCTTCCCATTGGACATTTCAGGGTCTTTAACCTTTCCAAAGTAAGAACATTCAGGCACCTTACCTTGTGCTGTGGGCAGGAAATACTTTGTTCAGAAGGAATTAGAGCTGCTCCGTGTCTTTCAATGCTGGCCCCAAACACCTGGCTACAATGTCCCTTTTCAATGTCCCCTAAACAAATCAACTGAATTGCCTATGAACTTTTTAATTAGCAATCTTCTCTACCATAGAATACAGTAGAAAAAAGACTACATGGCACTGCAGGGTCCACAGTCCTCTAATGTCCAGCTTAAGGCAGTTACCAACTTTCTTCTCACCTGTACCGAAATAGCACCCTTCCACCTGAAAGCTGGTGAAAGGAATATCCCAGTACAGATCTTTTATATCTATCTATCTATCTATCTATCTATCTATCTATCTATCTATCTATCTATCTATCTATCTATCTATCTATCTTTATCTATCCTTTGGTTGGAAGGAAGGAAATCCTTAATTCTTTCACTCTCCTTTCACTTCTTAGGAAGGAATCAGAACTCAATTAATGGTGTGACTCTGCTTCTGGGAAACACCCAGCTTCTTGACTTTGTATATTTATTTTGGTATAAGCCCTAGGCTTCAGCAAAAAGCAACCTGTGTAGGTCCCATTACACATACACTTTAAATTATATATAAAACAAAAACCCCATGATGTGCCTATGTATAATTTAAATGTTTAATATTCAGCATCCCTTTGCTTGCATTGATTTCAAACCATTTTACTCTCAAGTAAATGTTCACAGGATTGGGGACTGATGGGTCCTTTGATTTATTTATTTTGCCATTATCGGTAATTTCATTGATATCTGAAGTGGAAAAAAGTTCTGCTAATTTCAGTCTGTTTCTGGGAGTATGCAAATTAAAATCCATGCCTAAGCGCAATTCACATACTGGACAAAGAGTTGGATCGTTTACCTTTGGCTAATGGTTTGTTAGCTACAATTGGCTGGATACACACAGCATGCAATGAAAGTATTTTTCAAGTATAGAATAGTAATAGAATCCTTTTTTTTTCATTGACTGAATTATTTAATGGAGCTGGTTGAATTTGATAAGGCTTGTTACTTATAATCACAATAACAACAAATGGTTGTAGTAGCAAATAAGGTTAGGCATCTATGATCTGGAAGGAATTGTGTACATTTCAGTTATCAGCCTTGCTTGGAAATTAGACTAGAGAAATCCTTTTTCTCCCTTATTTTTGACCAAATCATTTTTATTTGGTTCAATAAATCCTAGGGATTTCCATAGAGATTGTTTCCAGAATTTTCTAAATTGAAGGGTTATTTTCCTGACCCATACTGGTCAGTTTCTGTGAAAGCAAATCAGCCAAAGTTAGAAATCATATCTCACTTCATTTGCTCTCTTACTCTGTTTGATCTGTGACTCTCATATTTAGTAATATGGTAGGATTACGTAGAGCAATTTCTACTGAACTTCCAAGGAGGTTGGTACTTTCCAGGCATCAATACCTCAATATTTCTGTGTGTAATTGAATTGGCTCCAAAACACATCTAAGGGACACCAAAGGAGGAATGAGTGCGTGGGGAGGGGGTCTCCTTTCTGTTTTAATGAATACTATCGACTCAGATCAGGCCAGCTTTGGATCTGCAATCTTAGGGGAGGAATGTATGCCATTTATGTTGGAGTTGTACCGGAATAATTGAGAGTTACTTTTAAACACCCCTAGTTTTGACAGCTCAGGGGAGACAAAAGGAAGCCAAAGCGATCAAAGCAAACGGACAAACCGTCAGAATTCCCTAAGGAAGGTTAGACTAGGAACGCTCAGGGTTGGGTGGCGGCCACGGGCCGGCCTGAGATGTCAGATGAGGGACTCTTGGTGCCGATAATCATTCATCCACGGAATTCTCCTCTCTTAGCGCGATCTCTCTACAAGGCAGCTGTAGAAATCATCTGAGAATAGCAGACGAGAGAGAGAGAAAGCCAGTGAGAGAGAGAGCGGTAAATGCCGTCGTTCCAAAGCGAAGGAAGGGAAGCCTCACTTCAGGGGACAAGGCGGCCGCGGGCTGGCGAAGGCTGCTTTCTCAAGCTGCTCTCGCCTCCACCCTCTGATCGCCGGTTCGGTTTCTCTGTTTTTGCCTCCCCGCAGAGCTCTGCGTCCTCTCGAAGTCGCTGGAGCAGAAGCGGGACGCCGAGGAGGCGGAGCGTCCCCGGCAGAGGAAGAGACGGAAACCCCGCGTGCTTTTCTCGCAGGCGCAAGTCTACGAGCTGGAGCGCCGCTTCAAGCAGCAGAAATACCTCTCGGCCCCGGAGAGGGACCACTTGGCCAACGTGCTGAAGCTCACCTCCACCCAGGTGAAGATCTGGTTCCAGAACCGCCGCTACAAGTGCAAGAGGCAAAGGCAGGATCAGAGCCTGGAGCTGGTGGGCAGCATCCCGCCGCCTCGCCGGATCGCCGTGCCGGTCCTGGTCCGCGACGGGAAGCCCTGCCTGGGCGACGCGTCCCCTTACAGCTCGCCCTACAACGTCAGCCTCAACCCCTACAGCTACAACGCCTACCCGAGCTACGGCAGCTACGGCGGCGGCGGCGGCGGAGGCACCGGGGCCTGCAACGCCAGCTACAGCTGCAGCTACCCGGCCGTGCAGAGCGTCCAGCCTTCGACCGCTGCCGGCAACTTCATGAACTTCAGCGTGGGGGACTTGAACCCGGTGCAAACCTCCATCCCGCAAGGGAACGGCGGCCTTTCCGCATTGCATGGCATCCGAGCCTGGTAGGGTCAGAGGGCCAGAGGCCTTCCGGGGGCAAACTCGACTGCAGCCCGGCGCCTCCTTCGGAGATGCGGCCTGCACGATTGTCCCGGACATAAGAAGCCGTGAGAGAGAGAGAGCGAGCGCCCTTTTCCGCGCTAGGTGGGGCCGAGGAGGTTCTCTGGGTCTTTGGGCGCGGAAGTTTTCTCCAGCTTTCGACGGGCCACTTCGGATTTCCGTAGGAAGCCTGGGTTCTGGATGGATCGCACTTCGGTCCAAAGACAGGAGGTGGCCGGACCTGCGTCCTTTCGCTCCTGCTTCGAAGTTACATCTACAAAGACTCCCGAAGTCGCAGAGCGCTTGGCGTTAACAGGGGGCGAGTTTCGTTTACCAATCCGCACCTCTTTCCCACTTTTTAAAATAATACCGCTAAATCTGCCTATAAACCGCGAAGGACCTTTATCGAATCGACTTCCTTTTCTTTTCCATACCGTCAGAGAACCCGGGCGCATGCATCCCACTTCTTTTCAGCATTTCTTCAAAAGCCCGGGTGGCCAGGAGGCTTTTGCCTTGCGGGAACCATTCCTGCTTGGTTAGTTTCCTTTGAAAGGCGGCCGGACTTGCTTTCCGATGCGATGCGAGGCAGAGGGGTCGTCGCACCCCCCCCCCCCCCCCCCGTCCCACCCCAGGAGAAGGCGCAGGCTGTTGTGATCCCCATAGAATTCTGCACTAAATCGGTTTGCTGAGAGTATGAAATGCACTGCCAGGCCGTGGCGTTGATATAGGTGACTTCTTTCGGGATGGGAGAGGGGGTGTTGGTTTCTGTACCCCAACGGGAAAAAAAGAAAAAAGAACTGATGTCATGTCATTAAAAAGAGTGGCTTGAATTTCGGCTGCTTATGTGTCTCCTTGCTCTCATTTGCAAATCGGTTATCTTTTAGTTGGGATGAAAATGGGAGAAGCCCTCGCTTCGGGAGATACCGCGATGGAGGGACGATTCCCACGAGTCCGATGTCCCGCCGTCCAGTCCGAAAGGTGGCTTCTTGTAAATCGCGAACCCTGTAAAGTCCCATTGAATTTCTTGGGGTGTAATTACTCCTTTTACTTACTGTAGATAGCTAGACTCGCAAGGCCTCCCGCTGTTGGAATTTGCAAATAATTTGCAATGAAATAGAATCAAAACAACAGTAGTACAGAGGCTTAACCCGGGTGGGTGGCCTTGTCCTCTATTTGAAATCACAAGCATAAAAGCATTAAGGGCATTAATTTAGAAGGAGCCCCTAAATATCAGCATGCGAAGAGGCCTATTTGCATAGTCGATGGCACGCTGCTCGAAAGGGCTGTACACAAAAGGGCTTTTAGTCCTATACAGGGCCTTAGAATGTGGGTTGCAGTCCGATACACTTTTCCTCGAAAATTATTCAGATATTTATTAACCAACGGTTAGTTTCATGCAACCAGCACCTAGCGCCCACAATAGGCGGAGCACAGCCATCAAAAACGAAACAATAGCCCCAACTGTCACATTTTGAGCGAAACCACCCAAAGCCCATAAGGGCTGCTTGGCACGTACAAACAGGCAACAAGCCTCCCACCCCGTGTTAGAGCACCAATAACGATACCTAGGTTAGTGATGAACTAACTCGGATGACACTATTCAGATGTGATCTACTAACCCATTTTAATGTGTGGTAAATTTTAATGTTTGTAAGCCACCCAGAGTCATCTCTGGACAAGATGGCCGGCACGTAAATTTAATAAATAAATAAAGCGCCCAGACTTCCTGAGGAGGGACGGGAGGCAATGACCCTGCCTCCGAAGAGGTAGTCCACCCAAGCTAATTCGAGGCTGTCTTTTTGTAAAGAATCGAGCCTTTTAACTCGAATGGCAGAATTTCCAATTAATTGAACCCAGTCGTCTTCGCTGAACATTCTTGGGAGCTGGAGTCCCAAGGCAACTGACGAGAAGCTAGCCAGGGAATGCCACCTGGCAGTGAAGGATGCTGCCTTCTGTAATTTAAGGCAAGTTGGTAAAGTGGAAAGAAACCGATTGCTCCGCCGCCCCTCTTCTCCTTCTCCTTCGACCAAGACAATAGAGTCAAACTTCTTATAACCAGACTAGCTTACTAGGAATTATCAGACAGCTCTGAGATTTCCTGGTGGGGTTTCATCCATGTTCTAGCCAGATCTGGTTTGAGTCCTGGCAGCAGAAACCCTGGCCAGATACTGCCCCTGACAAGTTGCCATCACCCTCCAGGGCTATCTTTATTGCTTCCCGTGAGTCTTAAACAGCTGCCTTCGAGAGGCACTGGATTAGTTTCCAAGCTTCCCAACGAACATGGCCGTTGAGGAAGCGGAGGGCACCGACTTTCGTGACCTGTGTATAATAATATGCCGAAGGAGCGGAACTGGGCGATCAATCGGCTTCTTTAAGGTTGGTCCCTGACAACCCCTTTCCTAGGCTTAGCCTACCAAGCAAGCCTTGCCCAACGTTAACAGCCCCAAACCAAGATCGGCAGATTTTGACCCCTACGACTCCAGAGCTCCCGCGGGAGACAGTCCCACCCAAGGACCTTCGGCACAACGGTAAGCGGGGGGAAAGGCGAAACGGAGCTGCCGTGGAGTTTATCAGCGCCTTTAACCTTTCCAATGAAAGAGGATGACCGCCGTCTTTTAAAAAAAACAAAAAAACACCTCCACGGGGCGTACAAGAAGACAATGCCGGTCACCGCAGGCAGGCGCTGTCCCCACGCCCGAGCAGGACCGATATCCTAAGTCCTGCGAAGCGCTGCCCCTCAAATTCACCCCCCGAAGCTCCGGCTCGGCGGCAGCGCAGCGGTGCCACAGGCCACACGGAAAAAGCTCTCTCGAAATAGGACTCCTCGAGAGGAACGCGGCACCCACCCACCCCCCGCGTGTGCTGTACGGGTGGGCCCCGCCAACCCTCTCCCGTCCGTCCCTTGGCGGCTTTGCCTTCCAGAGGTTGGCAGCAGCAGGCGGGACAGAGGGGGGGGGGGAGATGGTTGGTGGCTTTCTTTGCCTTAGAAGAGCTCCAGGACCAGCCGAAAGAGGCGATGGTAGGAGCCGTCTTCCATCCAAGGGGTTTTTTTTGGGGGGGGAGGGGATATTTGGGTGGCCCAGTTGAGCAATAACAAGGGGGGAAGTCGCTAGAGTCCAGTGGAGGATCTCCCATGGAGGGCAGCCCTCCCTCCCAGATTCCCACCCCAAACTCCTTCGTGGCTGCGCGTCTCCATCCTTGTTTACTGATGGGTTCGATAGCGGGTAGGCTGCCCCGTCCTCCTAATGGCTCTCTGAAGCGCCGACACAATGCGCCTCGGAGCCCCCACCCCAGGATGTTTTGACTGCCTCGGATGGCTCTGTTTGTTGTTGGTGTGTTCTCTCGTTCCCATCCCTGACACCCGAGAAGAGGGATTTGATCATCCAGCAACCCCGAGCTCAGGACTTCCATCCGGATTTCTCTCTCTCTCTCTCCCACCGCTCCCGCTTCCAGACCCCCGCCATTCGAGCAAGTTTTCTTAGGTTGAGGCTGCAAAACAAGGGAAAAGGTCGCTTATAAGTTGTTTTCAGTTTGGGGGAAATGGACCAAATAAGCAATTTGCTCCCAAATAGACAGTTCCATGCTCTTCCTTATAGTGAGGTGACCTTTTCTTTTCTTTTCTTTTCTTTTTTTAAAAAAAGGGGGGGGGGTGAGGAAGGAAAGATGAGATGGCAGAAAAAGTGAATTAAATCAGCCCTGGTATGAAGAAAGTTGGTAAAGTTATATTCACTCCAACCTGGCGCAATCTTTTGAAGGTAACCTTGGAGCAGGCAAAAGATCCTACTTATTTGGACAGCCAAGCTGGAATGGAATTCGGTACCTCAGAATGAAGTAATAGCCCAGAATCTCAGTCACTGAGAAGAGATGGCTACCGAAGGGCATAATTGTTTTTCAAGAGAGTCCAATCCCTATGGCCTGGCTAAAAAACAGTGAAAAGAGCTGGTCTACAGCTGATCAAATGTCTCTCTGCCTAGCTTTGGATTCTTATTTTCATTTATGATGTCCCAACATCTGCAACTGAAGGGCAGATGGTCACCACTACAGGAAAATAATATAGATGGAACAGCCACTGAGATCTTCTCTATCTGTTAAAGGGTAAAGGGAAGGAAGAAATCTTGCCAATTGAATACTGTTTGTTTCATGCAAAATATGGCGATTGGAGCCTGGGCCTTCGTATCTCAAATAAGAACCCTGCACTGATTTATTCTATGATGGGTTTTCTTGACCATCCCTGGTATTCTCAGGAGTCTTCACTTCAAAAGCACCAATACTGTTCCTACCCTGCTTCTTCATACTGCAGCTTTCATTACCATTCTGTGTCCCAGGGAAAATAATTGCCAGCACAATTCTGATTAGGTATAAACATGTCACAGTATTAGGTATCTTTTCCAAGACCCTCATTGCAATTCTATCAAATGTTAGTCTGTGGCATATTTCCTGATAGTAGATGGTTTACTCTTGATAGTTGATAGTTACCTTTACCTTCATTACTAGAGCTTGCAAATCATTATTATATTTCAGAGCAGTGTGATCAGCATAAGACATGTTACTGATGTTTTTCTTCCAAGTTTAAAATCATGCTTGTCTGTCAATTCAGCTGCTCTCAAAATATATTCAACACATAGGTTGACTATGGGACAGTGCACAGCCTTATCTCGCTCTTTGCTGATCTCGGGCTGGTCTGTTTTGTTATGGTCTATCTGGACTGTGGTCTCCATCTCCTGTATATAGGTTTTACATGTGAACCAAACTGAGGGTCTTTACTATGGTCAAAGAATCACATGACTTCATTTTGTTTTTTGCTTTTTTGCTTATTTGGAGTGCAACAGCAATAATATTTCTGATTCACCAGCCTTTTTTAAAATCAACTTGAACATATGGCACCTCCCATTCCATCAAGGGCTCTAATCTGTGAGGGATGATCCTGAGTATAATGTTGCTAGCATTTGAAATAAATGATATGATGCAATAATTTGCAGAGTCTATCAAACCTTTTTTTTTTTCTCTTTCTATAAACAGAACTCCAATTTGTTGGCCACCGTGTCATTTACCAAATTTTCTGACTTAATTTGATTAGAATTTTATTGATTCATCTTCTATTGCTTGCCATGTCTCT